CTGCAGCTCCTGATCCCACAAGCCATGAGATCGTGACCTGAGCCCAAATCAAGAGTCCGACGCTTAACCAACTGAGCCGCTCACTCACGTGCCCCTCCCGTGTCCTACTTTTAAGTTGAAAACACGAAGTTGGAATGCTTAGCACTGCACTGCGTGTGTGTGTCAACGTCGCAGGCAGGCGGGCGCCGTCCAGCAGGCTGCCGGCTGTGGTGTGTGTTGCTCCTGAGCCCTGAAGACCCCGGCTCTCCCTGATTGTGCAACAGCACAGCTGATCGGAGCCACAGGAATGCAGCCCCGTGGCCGCTCGGCGGCCACGCGTCCCCTTTCTCTCTGAAACAGAAAGCGCCTTGGCGGCCTTCCGCACTTCCTAAAGGGCGAGCAGACCCAGAGGGCGGCCTCGCCCCTGTCACCTCGCCCGGCCCCCCATGGGGCCTTATCTGTAGTGCCTCCTTGTCTGCGAATGTGCTTGCGTTTGCTTCACCGCCTTCCATGTCTGGGCCCCCCTCCCCGTCGTTGCCCTCGGTGGCTCATCTCGGTGATGTCGTCAAAGCCGGAAGGTGTCGGCCGATGGGTCGGTCTCAGGAGATTTGCTCTTTAAAAGAGGGAGCTCGGGCGCCAGGGTGGCTCCATCAGTTAAGCATCCGGCTTTAGCTCGGGTCACGATCTCACGGTTTGAGGCCTACATTGGGCTCTGTGCTGACAGCTCAGAGCCGGGAGCCTGCTCCAGATTCTGCCTCCCTCTATCTGCCCCTCTCCTGCTCACTCTCTCTCTCGCTCGCTCTCTCAAAAATAAACATTAAAAAAAAAAGGGAGCTCGAGGGGTGAAGGGGGAGCCCCTCTGACTTCTGCGTCCCCGAAGTGGGTGGCGGTGGGGTCTGGGCTCTTGCCCAAGCTTTGGACAGGATGGAGACCACACTCGTGTGATTATTTTCACAGCTAATTTGAAAATGCCATTTTGAGTTAGTGGTTAGAAAAGGTAGGAGGTAAGAGCTCGTGGCACCCACCAGAGGATAAAGGTCGGTGCAGGCCGCGCCCTGATTTCTGGGGGCTCAGGGGTCCTGCGTGGGCGCCCTTCTCTGCGTCTGCTGCTGGCGCAGACGCGGCTTCAGAGCCTCCTAGAGAACAGCTCCAGCTGTCTCACTGGTACAGGGCCAGATCTCCGGAGATCCTGTCCAGGCTCGTGATTTTGAAACATTCAGAAGAAAATTTGGAACCTAAAGTTATTCATCAGATTTGTGTTGTTGTCTGTTTTTCATCTGAGTCTTATATCATCAGGCCGCTTACCATATTCTCGTGCTTTTTACTGCTTACAGAAGAATTAGCTTAGACGCGCCTTGAGCGTCTAGATCTTCAGATTTCAGAAATAAAACTCTTTCATTACAAGCAGATGTGTCCTTTTAAGCAACGTGGCCTGTGAGATGTGCAGACTAAGTCCGTCCCGCTGCGTCCCCTCATTTTTGTGGCTCATCCAGACTGGTGGTCATGCTGTTCTTCCCCGCTCTGCAGACATGGGTGTGCCCCGAGCCTTTGGGGAGGAGCCCAGGATCTGCACCCCGAGTGTGTGACTGAAGCGCTGTGTCATCACATACACACTGATTGGTCCTGCCGAGGATGGCAGGTGGGGCGTCTGGACCGGGTCTTAAGGCATCGGTAGGAATTCACAGGCGGTTGCCAGGGCAGCTGGAAGGGGGTTGTGGAGGGAACTTGGTCTCTGTGTGTCTGTGGCGTGGGGGAAGGGCTACCGCCCCGCAGGTGGGGTGACGCTGGACCAGTGAGTCCTGACGCTGCACTGCGCAGGCGGAAGCCGCCAGAGAGTCTGGAAGCTTGGGGTCTCACTGGGCGGCCGTGAGAAGAGGGTTTGGAGTATGCTGCTGGGGGTGCCGAGGTGGATGAACCAGGAGAATGCCGGGGAGTGCGAGCCGGTGAGATGGATGGATGGGGTCTTGACCTTGGAGAGCTGGCGACGCCCTCAGGCTGGAGAGCGCTTCTCTCTTGGGTGTGTGCCGTGCATGCAGTGTGTTCCTGAGATGTGTGTTTAGCTCGGAGCCGTGGCTGGGAGTGTCCAGTGGACCCTGCGGACTGCCGGCCACACTCCTCGGGACCCCGCACTGTGTCGCTGGTGGGTGTGGAAGCTGCCCTTGGCGCCAACCCAGATGCCCCCGGGTTTTACGTTCACCATCTCAGTATTTGGGAAGGGCCGTGGGGCGGCCTCTGAGCCCGGGGAGATGTGGAGATGGGCTTTGTCTTCCTCCTCTTCCGAGGGACAGACGGGGCTGGAGCTTTCAGAGCCAGTGGCTGCAAGGTCTGAGGTGTCGGAGGGGATGCGGGTCGTGACTGCCCAGTGAGCAGGTGCCGCCTGTGGCGCCCCCTCTGAGCCAGACGCGCGCGACTTCCTGTGGCCCTCGGAGCCGCCACAGCTGGTGGGTTCTTGCCGTCACTCCTGTCCCACCGCCCGCCAGCGGCATATGTTGCCTAACACAGCACGCGGTGGGGGGGGGGGTGTGATCGTGAACAGACAGTTAGGCTGCAGGGCCCAGGGTGCGACCCCAGGCCCAGCGGGTGATGCTGCCCTGGCCGCGATGAGCTTCCCAGGACCGCGTGTGCGCGATGTTCAGTGCGACGCGGCTCAGACGGCGTCCGCGCTGTTGCTCACGTCATGGAAGGGGCGGTACGCTTTCTCTCAGCGGGTGGAGCAGCTCGGGGTGTGTGTGCATGGATGAACGTCGTGTGAGCGGATGCAGCCGCAGGGTCCCCTGGGGTTCGTTTCCCTCTTTTTCCACGTTTCCCACATTTTGCACAGCAACTGTTACTGCTATTTGAAATAAAAGTCTAAAGCACGCTGTGACTTTTTTTTAAACACTTGAGAGAGCGCGAGCGGAGGAGGGAAACGTAGACATTTCCTCTGCCTTCCTTTCTGGGATTAGACAGGTGTCTGCGGTCCAAGATGACGGGATGTGGCAGGAGCGACGGCCCTCTGTTGCCTAGGGAGCCGCCGCCCGGGCCGCCCGGCGCCTGTTCTGCGGGCTTTCAGCCTGGGGCTCCTCCCGGGCTCCTGCGGCCCTCGTGGGCACCGAGGGCGCCTCGGGGTCCTGTTCACACCTCCCCGAGTTCCTGCTCCCGCTCGCGGCATCCGTCAGCTCTTCGGAAGTGAGCGAAATCCACGCAATTCCTGTTGCCAGACACAGGAAGAGACAGACTTGCTTTTAATCCTGGAGGCATTTTTCCTGGTGACTTAAATGATTTTTGTTACACATTCAAATCTGGAATCAAATTTGATTCCACTTTATTTCTTTCCAAACTTTTAACCAGTTGTCCTCTTGACGTCATTTAATAATTAAGGTTTTTCCTGCTGATTTTCCTTGAAACATGACATTTGGTATTGCCTCTGTGTCTGAGTCGCCGCCGAATGGGCCTTTACCGTGTGCCTCCCAGCTTTGCAAGGCACAGCCCCACGCCTGGTATTTTTTGTTCAGAATGTTGCAGGTTAAACTGAAGACAGATTTTAGAATTTCTTTGCTGTGCTTTGAAGAGCTCCTGTAGAATTTTGACTGGATTTTTGGAGTTTCTACGATGCGTCAGGATTTCTGAAGCCAGGCATTTTGTATTCTGTTCGTGATGGGGAACGTGACTCTAGCTGGTTGTTGCTGTCATGAAGGAGGCTGCTCGCCGGGTGTCTCAGGGGACTGGTCTCCCGGTTCTGTGCACGTGGTGGCTCTTGGCCTGAGTTGGCGCTTGGTATGTGTTTGCCAAGGGAACGAACAGATATTTCTGTGTACATGGCATCATCCCTTTTCCGCCTTTTGGATGGATCACCCCAGATAGGCCCCCAGTAAGGCCGCGGACTCCAAGTGGGTGAGCGCGAGCACAGCTTCTCACGTGTGCTGAGGTTTGATGGGCAGGGACCCTTCACCAGAGGAATGAAGGGCAGGGATCTGTGGCTTGGGGGGTGTCCTGGGGTCTGGGGAAGGGATGGGTGGGGCCCTGCTCCCCCAGGTGTGGGGGCTTCTGGGTTTGGGGCTGGCGGAGGTCTGGGGACAGAGGCCTGTGGGAGCAGCTAGGACAGACGCACGAGGGACACAGGAGTGCCCCTGCCTCTGTGGGAAGCTTCCCAGGGGTACGTGACGCGAGCTCTGGAGGTCGCGTTTACACTGGGCGTGGAAGGGTGTGTAGGAGCTGCAGAGTCTGTTGTTCCAGGAGATTCAGTCTGTGGCCCCTGTGAGTCTTCAGACAGATGCTGGTCGCTGCTTCGTGCGGGCACCTGCCGCGTGTTGAGCCGAGCCTGGGCTCTGCCCCTTGCAGCGTGACCGGAATGCCTGTGTGGCTGGCTCTCCAGAATTTGGGATCAGAGCGTTTCAGTGGGGGGTGGGGCGGGGCAGATCCTGACTCCCCATCCTGCTCCCCACCCCTCTGGCCAGTGGGCGCTTGGCAGATGTGGCGATAGGCTTTAGCACTGACTGGCTCCGTTGTCACCAGCAGGGTGCAGCTCAGCGCTGGACTCCGGGTGACAAACCCACTGAGGTGTTCTGTATCGCCAGATTGCGCGGGGCCCCGCCCCCTCCTGGAAGGGCAGTAGAGGCACCTGACGAGCCGGGCCTGTTGTTTTGGTCCCTAAAGAGTGCTGGCATCTCTGTGGGTAAAGCCTTCTCGAGTCATAGTGTCCTTGGGAGGAGCAGCGGTGGCTGTCCGCCCCCCCCACCCCCCCAGGAACAGGCTGCCCTTGGTCTGGGTTTCAGTCCCCGAGGCCACTGCACACTCCCTGGGTTTGGCCGTCCTCCAGCCTTCCGTGGAGGGTGTTACGTGGTGGCATCCCGGGTCGTGGGAAGGCTCCCGTTGGGGCTGGATTCCTGGCGTTCACGCTATTTACTGGCCACGTGAGCGAAACCGCTGGTCCTGGCTGGAAGATGCCCTTGGCCTGTTCTTCCTGACGCTCCCCCGAGGGGTGGGGTGCGTCCCAGCCCTGCGTCCCTTGGGCAGTAATGCGCGCTCCCCTTCTCTCCCAGGCCCCGAACCGCCAGCTCATGACCTACTGGCTGCAGGAGCTCCAGCAGAAGCGGTGGGAATACTGCACCAGCCTGGACGCGGTCGCCGGGGACAGCAGGGCCCCCCCGGCCCCAGGGGACTTCTCGCAGGGGCTCGTGGCCAGAGACACCCCAGGTGAGTCAAGGGTGCGGGCCGGCGGCGCTTCCTCGTGTGATGTGTGACCGGGCGGGTGAGGCCAGCGTGGAAGCCTGGGACGAGGATGGTGGCATGGACCCCTCCGATGGCGGCCCTGCCTGGCTCCTGGGCGCTTCCGCGCGTGGAGTCCTCTTCAACCCGATAACGACCTTGGGGGTCAGCGAGGTCCGTGCCCAGCACCCCAAGCAGACGGGCGGCAGGGGTCCGCCAGCCGTGACCCCCGTCTTGACTGCAGGGCCAGGCCCGTGTCTGCCTTGCCGACGTGCTCGCGGCCAGAGGTCACTCACGTTTTTCCATACTGTTCTTGACACGCTTGGCCCGTGACTCCATCGCGTCCTTGAGGGAGAGTAACTGTTAGAGGCAATTCCGTGTTCTAGCTCTGTGGGATTTCCACGACTCCAGGTGGTTTGCGGTGTGGAGATCGTGTGGCTTTACGTTAGACACTCGGACGTTAAAGCCGCAGGGTCTTCTCAGGCCTGGTGCGGAGCCCCTTACAGAAAAGAGCAGGAGACAGTTACTCGCTGACCATCCCTGCAAGACCATGGGGGGCCGTGTTGCGCCTGTGTCCCCGAGGTGCAGAGGGCCACCCGGAGGAAGCCAGCCGCCGAGGCCGCTGTGCCCATGTGTCTTGATGATCAGAGGTGCTCACGTGAAAGCCTGGATGGCGAGGGCTGCTTCTCACGCCTGCAAAGATGTGTGGCTTGAGCTTCATGATGCCCGTGGGCCTACTCAGCTCCCCGCGAGCCGCAGCCAGTCCCAACACCCAAGCAGCCCGCGTTTCAGACACGGATGCTGGGACTCCTCCGAGCCTTCCCCCCCACAAACCCGATGTCCCGCCCACCACGTGTTCACCAAACACGGTGTTTTCTGCTCTGGTCAGTGAGACACTGCTGAACGTCAGCCACACCTGTCGGTGCATGCTTCTCACAGACGCGGACACCCGAGGGGATGCCCCTGCGTCTGGCTCCAAGTTCTCTGTTGGCTGTGGCTTTGGAAGGCGATGTTTTAGGACTTTGGATCAGAAGAGGCTCTGTAGCTCAGCCTGGACACCACGTGAGCATTGGATACGCTGCAGGGAAATGGGCAGATTCCTGGTGCCACTGTTGCCTTGCATGGGGTACACACTCTTTGCCCCAGTTTCTTCATTCAAGTTGATTTATTTATTTATTTATTTTATTTTTTGTTTTTTATATTTTTATTTATTTCTAGGAGAGAGAGAGAGAGACAGCGTGAGCAGGGGAGGGTCAGAGAGAGAGAGGGAGTCACAGACTGAAACAGTTTCCAGGCTCTGAGCTGGCAGTCAGCACAGAGCCTGACGTGGGGCTCGAACCCACGAACCGCGAGATCATGACCTGAGCGAAAGTCGGACGTTTAACCGACTAAGCCACCCAGGCACCCCTCAAGTTGATTTATTTATAATCTCTGCGTGCAACATGGAGCTCGAACTCACGACCCCGAGATCAAGAGTCACAGGCTCCACTGACCGAGCCAGCTGGCCACCGCCTGGTTCTTCGTCCTGAGGATGTAGTGTGTGTGACAGACCCAGGGCGCCAGACCAGAGGGAGTTTGTAACATAAATCTTTCCTTTTCTGGAGGGCGTCTGTGGCCGGGAAGCTGAGGAAGCATCTGATGCCCATGGTGCTTCTCTTCATTTGGTTTGGGGCCAAGCGTGGCCTCTGAGGGTTGCTCGTTTGTCCAGCCACGTGGCCACGCAAGTTGGGCCTGGTCCCTCCTCTTGCAGTGTTCCGGTCTCACCGTGTGAAGAGAAAGTTGGGGCAGCAGGGGTGCTCGGGACTGAGCTCATAGGGGCATCCCCTCTGCAGAAGTGGAGTCTAGGCCGGGTCCTGAAGATGACCTGGGGGAGGGGAGCAATCCAGCACGGCCCGAGCAGGTGCCTTTGCAGGGCTAGAGGGGGCCGAGCCGGGCGTGGGGGCCAGCGTGGAGAGTGCCTCTCCCTCTGGGTTTGGGACTCGGGGCTTCCCTGTCAGAGCGGGGGTGGCCATGAACGTTCCGTGTGTAGACATGACTCTAACGGCAGACTTAGACTGGGTTTTGGCGTCTAAGAAAAGATAATGGAACTTTGGACCGCTGGGCGGTTGTGAGGCTGTTGTCGTGTGGGGAGTCAAGAAGCAGCTGTATTTTAGCCCTTTTATCGTCAGAGAGAGGAGTTGGTCAGAGGATAAAGTGCAGGAGAATAGGGAGGGTGTGCGAAGGTGTGCGAGGGAGGGAGGGAGGGCGCCCCGTGGTGCTGCTGCAGCCGTGCTGGCTGCTGGCCAGGCTGACTCCAGCTACGATTGTTTGCAACTCCAGCCTGCACGAAAGTAACCCTTTACCTCTCTGCCCCCCGTCCAGGGCGTTCCCAGGTGTCCAGCACTGGCTGCACCCACCCCCCTACTGGGGGCGGGGTCACGGGAGTGGACACCTCCCCTTGGCAGGCGGTGGTGCATCTCGGGAGGCGGGAGAAGCCCTGGGGCCCGTGATTAGGGCTTGTCAGACTCGGTCCCGGGGCAGCCGATGTGGCCTGCCACGCATCGTTTTACTGAAGCCGCAGTTCATCTGTACGTTGCTTTTGGCCGCTTGTGCACAATAACCAATCAGTGGCCACGACCATGCGGCCCATGAGCCAACAGTCTGCCACCTGGGCCTTCAGGAAGTTTGCCGATGCTGCTCTAGGGCCCTGGGCATGTCTGTCCTTCTGAGCCATGGTTTCCGCATCTGGGGGACAGAGAGTGTTCGTGCCGCCTCCTCTGGCAGCCTGTGTTCTGGGCAGTGTGCCACACACCTGCTATTTAGGGACCATGGAGTCACAGTCTGTGTGTCCAAGGAGTCTGTCTGTGGCCTGGTGAGGCCAGGCCAGTTCAGAGGCGGGGGCAGGGTGAGCATGGTGTCGGCCTCAGGAAGTGGAAGGAGTGGCTGTTTGGGGCCCCGGGCTCTGAGGCCGAGGGGCATGAGAGGGCCCCCCAGAAAGCTGGGTGGACGATCAGGGGCCGGGCCTGGAGGGGTTTTTATAAGCAAGAGCACAGTGAGCGATGGGTCAGACGTGCCGAGTGGGGAAGGGCCTCTTGGCCAGATGGGGGGCTGGGGTTGGGCTAGAAACCACAGCGGTCACGGCAAGGGCTATGGCAGAGTGGGTGGAAAGAGGCTGGAGGCGGGGAGGGTGTGGGGGAAGCTGCAGGGTCTGGATGTGGGGTCGGGTGTGGGGGAGGGGAGGCCCCCTTGCAGCTCTGTTATGCGGGTCACACGTCAGGCTGCCTGTGGTGCAGATCATGTCCAGCTGTCGTCAGCAGGAAGCCTAACGAGTGTATTTGCCTCGTGGTGGGCTGCTTCCGCGGTAAGGCTGCTGCCCGCTGCCCGCCGTCCTTGGCACATCCACTTCCCACTCAGGGCTGCCCCCGTGTCAGGAAGGAGCCCTCATCCTGTGCCTCACTAGCCGGGATGCTGCCGCATGGCCTCCCCAGGCCGGAAGGGAGGCGCGGAAGCGGGTGTCGGAGCTGAGCACGTGGCCATCAGCGGAACCGGCGTCTGTAGGGAAGGGAGGGCCGAGGCGAGCCTGGAGAGGCAGCGCGCACTGTCACGCGGCTCCTGAATTTGTTCTCTGGAGCCCTGTCTTCCGAGCGAGAGCGTGGCGTTGTGCCTGGGGTCTGCAGCTTCGGGTCAGCCCGGCTGCGGACGGAGGGACGGCCTGGCCGCCCCCGCCTCCGCTCCCCCCCCACCCCCCCTCCCGTGGCCTGGCCTCCGGAAGTGCGCTTTGCCTCAGACACGGCTCTGCACGGCTCTGAGCTTGCGTGATCAAGACCTAGTTCAGCCCAAAGGAATGCTTTGCGAAGACCTTCCCGCTGCTGGGCGGGGGTTGACTGGACCCACAGGAGGCCGCACGGTAGCTGAGAGCCTCGTTGCGAGCGTCACACCCGGCTGGTTCTCACTTCTCTCCTGTGTAAACTGATCAGACGAGCAGGCCCGAGTGCCTGTCCGAGGACGGGGTGTCTCCTGCAGCACAGACAAGTTGAGGGGTGGCTGGTGAGGTGGGGTGGCCGGCAGCCGCTGCCCTCAGCCCCACAGCCTGTGCCTCAGGGGCCCACGCCCGTGGGTGGGATGCGACCCCGCCCTGCGGAGTCACACCAGTTCCACGTGCTCACTTAAGCCGTCCGTCCTGCGAGGTGACCCCAGAAGCTGTGCTTCTCTGTGGTCCTGTCTGTAGGATGCCACAAGTTGTGTTCCACGTCGTGTCCGTAGGCAGCCTGTCCCGGTGGGGAAAGCTCTCGGGACCATGGGCTCATGGCGCTTCCCCATCTGTGAGCAAGATGCTCAGTGAGGCTCCTGCTCTAAAGGGGAGTCCTCAAATCTGATCGCGAGAGGGAGTGTGTGAGAGGTGGGATTCCAGTCCCAGCTGGGAGGAACCTCCTTGGAGCTGTGGGCAAATGGGGTGCAGGTGGGCTGGGGGTGGGTGTTGCTGGGTAGGGTGGGGGAGGCGAGCTGGGGGGGTTGCTGGGTAGGGTGGGGGAGGCGAGCTGGGGGGGTTGCTGGGTAGGGTGGAGG